AATCTTTTATACACCGACGTTAATGAACAACTTGGTAAAGTCTGTGTACTCTTTCAAAAGATTGTTAAAGGTGCTCAGTCAAAATCTTTTAAAATCACTGGATTCAATTACTCGTTTTTAACACTTAATTGGCATCCAAAACCACTTCAGTCTGAGAATGCTTCATCTGAATGCCTTCAGTTTTTTCTTTTTGGGTGTCATTTTTGTAGTTTCGCCGCCAACGTTAAATTCTCATCCAGAAACTGTCATGGTTATAGAACAGAGGTCGAAGGTCTGAAGATACATTTCATCCGAGTTGTGCATCGTGATAGCTACAACGACATTTATCCAATAATGCTGCTGCATGATTGGCAAAGCTCATTCTGGGAGTTTTACAAGGTACCAAAGTGCCACTCTTCGGTCTTTTTGATCGTTTTGTGATTTCAGTTTGCATAGGATAATTTAATGGGAATGATGACCGAAACAAGGAGGGAGGAAAAAAGAAAAGCGTCCTTGTTTTCTCTATCCTCCTGCTTCTTTCGTCTCAACGTTTAATGACATTTTTGACATTTTTTTTTAATGACATTTTTGAGCTTAATAAAAAATTTATAGTTACTGCCGATCCTGAGTAATCCTAATCGTTTTGAAACGGCAACAGAATCCAGAAGGAAAATTGCATTTGACGTAATTATTCCCTCCATTCCAAGTCTTATCTTCTCCGAAAAACCTTCACGACCTGGTTAGTCTTCAAAATGCAGTTATTATTTGTCAAAAGTTGAAACAGTTATAAGTTCACTGGATCTCAATTCGCTTCATTGAATTTTGCACGTTTTTGAATCTTCCTGTAGAATAGCCGTAGATTAGGCTGTTTTGAAACAGCTAATAATCTTGTAAAACACGCATAATAAAATTGTCGCAAAGTTCTTTTATATCTGAACTTTTGAACTAGTTAATTTCTGAAGGTCTTGGAGTCATCGAAGTTGCACGTATCCTTATGAAGCTTGCGGATCGCTTACTGCTCAGTAACTATATTCTATACAGCCATGGGGAAAGCGGATGCATGTTGGGTATGTTCAAAAAACCATCTTGTCCTGCATATCTATTTTAAGAACGCTTATTAACAAACACGCTGTATCTGCAAAAAATAAAATCCGTGCCTAGTTGTTTAAAGTATTTTAATTCTTCCTTACCACCGGGCAGTTACCGTTGGCTGGTGCAAGTTAATTTTAGCTTCTCTCTCTATATTTACATTACTATTTTTGCGTGCGTTAGTCTTTTATTTATATTAGTTATTACTAGCGGCCATTTTCAAGTATTTCGCACCTCATGAAGGAAGAGTTATGGAGGTTTTGTTTCTTCATTTCGTTTTTAAAACTAACACATTCTTTATACATCATATGCCATTTTGGGTTTCGATTCTTTAACACTAAATTTAGGCTTCTGGCGAGCATAGTCCAGTAGCAAATTACTTTACTTTCCCGCTGAAGATCAGAGGTTCGACTTCATCAGTGAGACAACCGGTCCCTCGAGGACTCACTCGACCGGCATAAGTCGAAAAGTTAAGTCCGCCAACAGCGAATGGTCACTGCTGGCATTTGTCAGGGCTCAAGCTATCTTTTGAGTGCCTTCACTTCTCATTAACAGTGCATTGTAAAGTAAGTATTTTGATTTTAATAGATTGCTGTATTTCAGCTGACATGATTACCCTGCTACATCCGAGTTCTATTGCTGGCTT